TTAGTAACTAGATCTCTGCTCCCAATGATTCTTTTGAAAAAGCTGTTACAAAATAATTGGAAACCAAAGTACATAATTATAATTTTCAGAAAATTATTTTTCAAATGAGACTATTTTTCCCTGTAGAGACTGGATAATACTTACTAGTGTTACTGCCTCTTATTACAATTTGTCTGGGTTTGTAGCTTCAATTTAAATAAGGCATTCAAACTCTTTCATTACTTTTGGATATGTAAATAGCAAGAGCAGCCCAGGATGTAGAGAGACTGTTGACTTCTGTTTAGCTGCTTTTTAATTTATTTATTTTATTTATTTTTTTTTTTAGGGAATAAAGAGTACACAGGTCAGCATATTTCATTTTGCATGATTTGGTATTTTATATAGCATGTATATGGAGGAAGATGAAATGCAAGATTCCTTTTTCCTCATAGTAGTGTATAGGAATGTATTTAATAATATCCTCCGGAACAAAATTGAAGATATTATTAGCCTATATCAGAGCAATTTTAGTAGTCTGATACCTGCTGGATTTATCACAAATGTTACTATAAAGGCACAAAACTTTTAGGGACTACTGAGTATGTCTTTAAAAAAAAAAATAAATATAGTAATTATTACATTGTCTAATTTTAAGATATTTTTCTCAGTTCTGAAGCCATGCAGATACATATCTGATATCATTAGCTGACTCATTATTTGTGAAATGACAGCTCAAGACTGGTAGCAAGCTGTCTGAGATGGAATCCTTGAAATTTTCTTCTTCTGCCTTCCAGAATCAACTTTTGGTAGTATAGCCCTTTTATCCAGAATCTTATAGCTCAGGCATATCATTGATGAAATATTTTTGTTCATAATATTATTCCCTGATGTTATACCTTGTCATTTGAAAATATTTTGTGGTCTCTCATTTTTTCTATTCAGCTTTGGAAGATATCGGGGCAGTAGATAAATGCAATAAATGCATAAATACATTATAGCATGATCAATGTTTGTAAATATCAACAAACCCATGGATCTTATTTAATTAATATTAATGCTTTAATCTTGCTCTGGAAAACTGGAAAAATTGATTTTACTGGAATGCATAGATCAAGAAAAACACTTCCCACTGCACTTCTGATTACTATGGCATCTACTAACCAGATCAATAGCACACTTTAGTAGTGCTAGTCTGATTTAAAAATATGTAGAATATAGCAATAAATCATCACAGTTTTCCCTGAAGTGTTTATTCTTATGAACAACAGACTAAAAGGTAGAATTATTCTAAGGTTTTACTCTAATATTAAACTGATTCAAGGATCAAACAACCTGCCAACCAACCAGCCAGCCAACTTTGGTTTGACATTTATAGATTTTTCAGAAAAATTAACAAAGACACTGTTAGGTAATTGGTAAAAGCAGAATTTTTGGAAAGTTTATTAAGAAATTTTAAGTTAATTACTCATCTTTCCCAAAATTTCAAATTTTGTTTTCTAAAGGTTCCATTACAATTAATTTTAAGTGTTGATATCATCAAAAAACCTTTTCAGTATTCTGAAGGGAATAGTCAATATAACAAGCACCACAAGTCCAACTGACTTGGAGTGTGATCAAACTGAAGCTGACGTTGTAAAACAAGGACTCTGAAAACATAGCCTCAAGACTTCTTATTTTCTTGCTTGGCATATTTGGAAGGATTTGAAGTACATTTTGTATTGTACACTGTGTGTGTACTTTGCATGTCAAAAGATGAATTTCCAAATATACAGGGTTTATTTTTACTGCAGGAACATGTAAAGGCTTGTACAGCCCATGTGCAGTAAATTAGTTTCCTGTTGGGTTTTGACAGCTCTGCTGGTTCTGTACATTACTTTTGCTCAATTTGTGCAAATTCCCTTAAAACAAAATGTCTTCAATATCAGCTGACAAGCACAATTATTAAATAAATGGCAAGTTTACCAATTCTAAAGTTTGTCCTGTAAATCATGTAAAGTTATGTTAAACCTAAGTTTGAAATGGGTTGTGTATTAACTGTTACATACAGGTCGTTTACCTTTTAATGACCTGGAGTTATGAAATATTTCATTGAGACTATAGAATGTTTGGAGTAGCCATTAGCAACCAGTTTTAACTCTCTTCCAGCAGGGGTGTGCATGGTAAACAAAATGATTTACTGTCTCAAGGAATAATATTTTACTTTTCACTATGCTCCTATTTGGTGACTGCTCTTTCTGATTTTGATTTGCTAATGTCAGTTTTGCACAAAGATGAAGCATTTTCTAATTTTTAATTGAATCAGAAACTTCAAAGAGGAAATCCTGGTAAAAGACTCCGAAGAATAAGATTATCAAATGCTAATATTTCAAATTATTTTTAGCGCGTTGCTATAACATATTTTATTTTTTATATGTTCTAATGTTTTTGAAGTTATTAATGACATCATTGCTACTTATTCTCTTAAAAATGTGACTATTTCACAGAATATGATAGAAGATAAATGTAGACTAATCTATGTTCTTGTGGCTTTAGAGAACTACAGTTTTTGATGCCATACCTATTCCATTATCACAGTTTTAGGTGAGTTACAGAGAGTGAGACAAAAATCTGCTAATTAAACATCCTTTTCTGAAAAATATTAATGGAGAAAAAACAAAATTTAAACTTTTAAAATGTACATCTCTTTTGATTAAAAATTTAAAAAAAGCTTGCTTTATCACAGAAAAGAATTTCAGATTGCAGAAAAGTGCGAGGTTATATCAGAGCAGCTAGATTACAAGAGAATCAACAATAATTTGGAGATTCACTAGAGACAAGTGGAGAGCTTGAAGGTGAAGCCTAGTACAAAGGCTGAAGCTGAAGCTTTGAACAAAAAAATAAATTTTTATTATTTTTTCATGTTCCACAATATTCCTTAATGAGACACATATTTTTCAGGGAGTTTTCTTATCTTTATATTTGTCATTCCTACTTAAAAAAAAAACAAACGACATGCCTTGAAACTTATATTTTCCTTACCCTCTATCTTCCTCTCTGATTAAATATACATCACATGATGATTGTGCTAAAGAAAATCTGTTTTTGCTTTCTGACTCAACTTATGAAGACAAGTACTTCAATTACTAAGAGACTCATGCCAATTTGGTGGTACTCAACAAGTATAAAATATCTAGAAGGATATTAATTTGAAAAAATATTACCATTGCACTTACAAAAAAAAAAAAATCTGATAATGAGATTAGATTTCTTCATGTGTTTAATGGAAAACAGGATTAAGATTTCTGGCAATGAATTAGTTATACAATTTTAATACTATCTTCCTTTTTTTCTTATTATGGTATTGATAGTTTTGCTGCAATATTATTTCAAAATGTATTTTACTGTTAATAAACAAAATATGCTTTCAAGTTGAATTCAATACTGACATTATTTGCCCATGTTTTATTGTGGAGTCTTCTGATGTAACTGTGTATCTTGTTGCACAGAATTTAAAAGTGGACCAAAAATAATGACTTTTTTGGTTGGTTGGTTTGGGGGTTTTTGTTTTTGTTTGGTTGTTTTTTAAGTACTGAATGAAGTATGGGTCAGCCTTAAATGTAGTTACGGATTTCAGTTTAAATTCTTATCTTTAGTGTTACAAATTTCGTGGCTAGAACAGTACAAAATATAAAGAATATTTTTTTAAACTAAGAAGATTAAGAAGATTTATGTGTCGTTTTCTCCTCTTTACTCAATTAGAGCGAATCAGCTGCTTGCCTACAGAATTTTCTATGTCCTTTCCATCTGTGTCCTTTTAACTCTCTGCATTTGACTGCAGTCCCTGGGGTATGGCACATATACATGTACACACACATAAATGTACACACATGTGTTTATATATGTGAATATTCCAAACTGGCTGTTCTTCAGTGTACTTATATCACCACTTACACCTCTAAATGAAAGTGTTTCTCCCCCCTTTGGAACAAATTGCAATCCCTGGAATAAATTGCGATCCTTGGAACATATGCCAGGTTTCCAACTTGCCTGTACTGGCTTTGCTTGTAGAATCATGTCCTTCAATTACCAGAACCCCAGTGTAACAAAGGAATATGAGCTTTCAAGGACATGATAATAATCCATCAGAATGGCATCCACATCTTTAAACACAAATGCTCTCAGTTCTCAATTATAACTATAATAAAATATGACTTATTACTGTATTAAAATTCCTACATATAAGTATTCTGTCATTTTTATCCATGTGAAGTTTTGAGGAGCTAAAGACAGAGTTACCATGATTAATACATGGGTGGAAAATATGTGCCTCTCCCCTCCCCTCCCCTCCCCTCCCTGAACCTCCCCTTCCCTCCCTGAACCTCCCCGAACCTCTCCAAACCTCTCCTCCTTATAAAAAATTCATCATTTTCTTAAAATGGTGCTGAAATTTTTATCTTTCAGCAGAAATATGCATAGAGTGGTTTAATTTACAGGATATTAAAAATGGCCATGATTCTAATAGTTATATTTTGCTCAAATTCCTGAATTGAGAAAATTACTTTTACCTTTGATTCCTCTTTATCCTTCTTGAGACAGATTATAGATGTCAGAAGTAAATTATATTCTTCAACTTCAGTGCATTTACTCAATGATGTACAATTATTTAGTTGGTTTTGAAGACAGTGGTATTACACAAAATGCAATTAGTTATCTTGCCCTTTCAGTATATAGTAATCAAAATGTAGTGTGATTACCCATAACTGAAATAAACATGTAACAACTACATAAATAAGTGGAATCATGGTGCTTTGAGGAGGTCAGCAGAGTGATGATACCTAAAAGTTATTATAATTCACATTTCATGGACCAAAACTTTGGGGTTAGTTACACTCATTTATTGTGAAATATGTTAAACTTATGTGCAATTATTGTTTGAAAGATCACTTTTATTTTCACTGATGAAAAGCTTAATTTACAGACTCATCTCTCAAGTATATTTATTTATTTATTTCTAATATATATTTACTTATTTTATTTTGTAGGTTATACAGATAAATTTTGAAGAATTTGATCTGGAGATTGGCTATGACACACTAACAATTGGTGATGGAGGAGAAGTGGGTGATCCTAAAACTGTACTTCAAGTGTAAGTCTTTTACATTTACAGTTTGTGTACATTGAAGTATGTCGTTAATGTGTTTTGATAAGACTAAGTAATTATTAGAATCAGGTAGATCTGAACAAAAACTAGCTGAGCCTCTAAAATTACTAAAAGTGACATTTTAAAGATATTGCTGTGTTTACTGTTCTGAAGTCAGAGACAGGTGGCCTACACATCACAATAGAAAAAGATGAGCTCAAATCAGAAATTTGAAAGGCATGGGTGGGCATTTATGTGTAGACATGAAAATTATAGAAACTATTGCACTCCCTTTGTGTGTTCTCAAATTAGAAGTGTATAAGGAAATAATTAAAAAAGATATATGGACAACTTGTGCACAAATTTTTCAGTCTCCTAGCAAGGTTACCATGACAAAAGATGTATTGTAGCATGCTGATCCTGATTTGCTTGTTGACTATTATAGATGACTCCGAGGAGCAAGTTAACATAGTGAAGAAAATTCCTAAAGAGAAAGGATGAATAGGGTATAACCTAAACCATGTATTGCAAACCAGCATTGAGTTTCGAATAGATTTTTATCATTCATAGACATTTTTCTAGAATGTGTGATCCTAGATTTATAGATATATAATATTCTTAACAACCAATGATTAACTTCAAAATCCATATTTCTCAAATACTTGGCTTCTGGCAATAATACTAACAAGTGTCTCAAGTATACAAATTCAGAATTTTATTAATTTGTGAAATTTTCAAGACAGTATTATAAGTCAGTGACTGTTCCACAGTCACTTGAACATATGCAGAACACCGAAATTAGGCCTTGTAATACATTGTTTTATGTAACTCTAGTTCTAGTCTGAATAAATAAGTATCATATATCAGAAATTAATATATTTTAAAGTACATTGCATTTACTTTTTCAAATCTGAGTCAATTTTGCTTAAAAAAAGTGATCTAATGCTTAAAAAAATAATTTGCTTGTAAGAGATTATCTGCTATTTAGAAAATATTTTTTAAAGACCAAATAATATTTAGCTGTTAATTTTAAATAACCTGATGTTTCAGCAAATACCTGATGTTATTATTAGTTTAAATAAGTTAATAATTGAAACACAGATAAGAATGTGATACAAGTTTAGTGCAAAATATATTTAATCATAAAACAAAAGAATAAAAAATTAGGATTCTTTAGAATGATATTGCCTGCTGTATATTTATTGGAAATGTATTTAATCAATTTTACATATTGTCATTTTCCATTATTCACCATTACAATGATATGCTCTGTTTGAGTACACTAAACCCAAGGTTTGCCTCTTTTTCTGTCCTAATTTTACCTCATTAATATTAACAATTGCAAAACTTCGAACAGAACATACATGTTTTCTAAGATTTACAGATTTTTCTAATGAATTCCCCTTTAAATTTATCCTCCAGAGGATTGATTATCTAACCTTGTATTTTTAATTGGCTTTGTAATCATTCTGTCCTTTCTGTTTTGTTCTATTTTGTTTAATATCTTTATCAATGGTCTGGACAAGGGGTTTGAGTGCACCCTCAGTCAGTTTGCAGATGACACCAAGTTGGACAGGAGTGTCGATCTGCTGGAGGGTAAACACAGAGCTGAAGCTCTCAAGTCTGTAGTTCCCTGGATCTTCCTTTCTCTCAGGAGTGATGTTTTTCTCCTTCCTGTAACCACATGACTGCCATGACTTTTCAAGTGATGGAGAGTGACCTGACAACATCAGCTAGTTTCCTTTTGATCCTGGGATGCATGTCATCAGGCCCCATAGACTTGTGACTGTTCAGTTTCATCAGGTGGTTTTGAAGCTGCTCTTTGCTTACAGTGTGAGTGACCTCTCTCCTCCAAATCCCATGTAGAGAATCGAGGGAATCTTGAGAGAAATGGGAAGCCTAACATCCAGTGACGACTGAGGCAAAGAACACACTGAAGTACCTCAGCCTTCTCCATATCTGCTGCCACCAGTTCTCCCCTCTTGCTTATCAGGGAGAAACATTGTCTTTGGCTTTTTTTTATCTGACTAATTTCAGAAGGATTTGACGTTGTTCCAGTGTCAAGTACTGGAAGAGACCGCCCAGGGTGGTGTAGGAGTCAGCATCCCCGGAGGTGTTCAGATGTGTAGATGAAATGTTTAAGGACATGGTTTAGTGGGGTACTATGCAGTGTTGGTTTAACCTTGTACTTGATGATCTTAAGGGTCTTTTCCAACCTAAATACTGATTCTAGGATTATTATCCATGAGAAGACCAGCATTTGGCCAAGTAATGATGGTGTAATTGCTTTAGGATAACGCAGTCTCTTGGTGGATTGCAGATGAGTTAATTGCTACCACTCATAACTTTGAGACGTGTGGAAATACTATAATTTCTACCTTTTAAGCAGTACTAATCATTCAAAACATATTGCTGAGAATGCTAGAATTCATTTTTAGCTATTCTTAGATTCTTAAACTATATGGAATATTCTCTCTTGCGGAAAGAACCTTTATTAAGTGCCAATTCATAAGTTCTTATTAAAGTTTAACTAAAGTATTGTTACTGAATTACAGTAATTCATTAAGGCAAAAGTCCAATAATATTTTGAATTTTGAGTAATGTGGTAGAACAGTCTGCCCTGACTGTATTTCATTGAAGATTTTAAAATTTCATAGAAGTATTTCTGAGGATGTACCTTAAGTTGGGGAGATATGATGGAATTTAACTATTAAAATTGTCAGAAATATAAGGAATCCTGAGTAATTTTTTTAAATTAAAAATGTTAATTAGAATTGTCAAATGTTAATATACAATAAGAGAATCTGTTCTGTAAATAACTAGGTAAATGATTTTAAAGAATTATTACTATGAAGATCCTGGAAAAGCAAAAAAAAAAAATCCCCATTAATTTATGGGGGTTTAGTATTAAGTAACATTATACAATAAACCACAAGTATATTATTTTTGTTTACCAGTAGAATCATTATTCTGTGATTAAAAGTATCAATGGTGAAGTTATTAGGATTAAAATGCATTAAAAAATTACATGGAAGATGGAAGATAATTGAGTACTGTAAAAACCATGTAAATCTTTTCTCCTGTGAGCCATGTAGACTTTGTCTGAGATATGATGCATAGCAAATAAATCAGCTGTTGTATCATTTAATTTTTAGATTTTAAATCTTCAAATAATTATCTTTCCTCTGTACAATTGCTGAAGAACATTGGTTTAAATATGTCTGGTTTACATGTTAATAATGTGAAAACATTTATCTTCCAATTTATCAGAGTTAATCAGGAAACTTACCCAAGTGTTTAATCTGCTAGTTTTACTGGGCACTACTTGATAGCAAGGTTCAGAAGCAAAAACTGAAGTTAAGTGGCATTTCAATAGAATTATGCTTCCTAAATTGATAATTACAGTCCTGATTATTCCTACTCTGCTGATGGTAATCACAGAAGTAGCTAAACTCCAAATCCTTTTCGGCATTTGCCATTAAGTTTCTCTGGGTGCCTGTAATTCGGAGCCTGTATATCCATGCACCCAGCAACATGACAGTCTGCTCCAGCCTGGTGACCCTGGCACCCAAATGAACTTAAACCTGATTTTAGTCTGTTTGAAAAGATGACTAATATGAAGCCATTCTTAGTGCTTTTCTATGGAACTAAAAAAAAAAAAAACAAACAGGGATAGAGGGGAAGAAGGTACAAAAGAGGTGGGTTCTTCTCCATATATCAGTTGCAGCACTTTTTCAGGATGTTTGGAAGTTTGCTTTCAGCAGCTTGGTCTGACAATTGCTGCAGGTGACTTTTAATGCAATGTCCATCTAGGCACTGGTTCCTGTAACAAGCCTTTTGAAAATCCAGTGTACAAATGGTGAAATTCAGTCTTTTATTATGCTTGCTGTGTTGGGTGTGCATGTGTCCAATCTCACATTACAAGGTTGTCTTCAGCAAATGGAGAGTGCTATAATCTTCTGAATATCCTCAAACCCAGTCTCAGTGTACTCTCTCGGGGAGAATATATGTCACTAGGATGTGGGAGGAGTAGTTCTGGAGTCGTAGAGGAAGAAGTGGAAAACACCCTGCTGAGTGTTGTAACTGTTAAGCTGTTTAATAAAAAGGGAGACATCCTAATCACACACATTTCTACTGCTGTCAGTGTTCACTATTCAACTCTTAAAAGGGAACATGTACTTCCAGGAGAGGAATCAAGGTACTGAATCCAGGGTAGAAAAGAATCCAGGAAGAGGAAGCTACATAAACCCCCAGAAGGACAGAAAGAGTAATTCTCAACTGCAGACTTCCATTATATCCTTAAATAGCTTCCTTCATATAATAATGTTTTTTCTGGACCTTATTGCTCTGTGGCCCATTCCTAAATGTTTTATGGGGATCCCTAAGGACTTAAAAAGTAGAGCAACAAGTGATTTTTGTGTTCACTTGATTTGTTTTTTGTTTTGAAAACACATTTTAAATTTTTTTTTTCCCTGTACTATTTAACTGGAAAGTATTTCTTGTTAAAACTATGGATGAAAAAAAGTTTTTATAATTAATTTCAGAAAATGGAAATGCTGAACATTTTGATGGATATTTATCATAGAAATTATTCTGTCTGACACAGCAGAGAGATTAATGTTCTCAATGCCCTTCATACTCAAAATACATACTGTCAGTCACCAGTGACAATTGCAAAACTCTGTTAGCCACTACATCAGTGCTGATTCTCAGAAACATCCTGTTAATCTACTAATTTGGCAAAGACTAAACTCACTGAAGACACTTTCCTTTAGTGCAGGAATGAGCAGCTAATACGTTATTTTGGCCAGGCATTTACTTGTTCAGTTCTGGCAAGAGTCTTTCTAGTAGCTCCATCTGTGAACACAGATGTGGGAAACAGACATGTTTTTTTCTCACAGCAGACTATTAAATAAAGAAGGAAGCTAAAAAAGACCAGAGGGGAAGAACTAAAATTAACTGTAAAATACATTTAGAATAGTCCATTTTAAGTTTCAGCTAGCTTTAAAGAATGGTTAGAACTTCAAAAAATGAACAGTTTTCACAGATATACAGTATTGTGCTTGTGATCCACTTTACAAGAATGAAAAATATCTGGAAACTTATCCAGCATTTCATTTCAGATATTAAATTATAACCAAATTTCAGACAAAATTTTGGGAAAAAAATTTGATACAGCATAAAACTGCAGCTTTCACAACATTTCCTTATTGCTATCACACTGTTCATTCAGCAAATAGAACCAACCAATCATTTAGAATTGCAATGATTTGCACATTTTTACAAACAATATTAAAATAAAAAAAAAACCCAACAAGTTTAGTTCTTTCTGTTGATCAGCATCCTGTAACAGTAGAAGCTTTTAAAGTTGTGATGTTTGTTAGTTTTCTTAACGAATGAATATACAACAGCTGAGTCTTGTCAGGCTGTTCTTCCTTTGTTGTAGAAGAGGTGATGAGAGAAGGTGAGAGAGTGTAGGGAACACAGACCTTCATAATAATGCAGCTATTTAAAAATAACAGCTTTCTTTTAAATATGCAAGGCATGCATTTCAAAGTGGGTAGTTGCGTACCATAAAAATCAAAGAATTGTTGTAGCGCTTCATTTTGGGCTTCTAGTGCCATTGATAAGCCTTCATGTACCTGAGTAATGGATACTGGATCTCCAGAGAAAGTTAAAGATTAGGGAAGTTTCGTGTCTTTCTGGAGCAGCAATTGAAAGTGAGATGAAATATTTAAATACAAAATAAGCAGTAGTTGCATGAGCTTATAGACTATCAAATTTCCAGACACTGGAAATGGGACAGTTGTCTTGGCTGGCCAGCCAATAAATGACTAATTTTGTGTGAGCTGAATGCAATGAATTTAAAAACAAACATTAAAAAAATGCTTGATAGTTATTTAGATTTCTTACAAAAAGAAAAAAAAAAAAAAAATCTCCTTACTTATGCTTAATGGCTTTACAGAAATTTTCTTCTATCCATAGGTTAACTGGGAGCTTTGTACCAGACTTAATTGTGAGCATGAGCAATCAGATGTGGTTGCACCTTCAAACGGATGAAAGCGTGGGCTCAATTGGTTTCAAGGTTAACTACAAAGGTAATGATACATCATTGGAAGCAAATGTAATGGTGTGCCAAAAATTAGGCCAACTTTATGAAATGTTTTTCCTTCAAATTAATGGATGCATTCTATTTCTAGTTCTGTTGGTTTGAAAAATAGAAAAATATAAGCTGAATTGTAAAAAAAAGCAAAAGCAAAAAAATTTATCTTAAAGGTCTTTTGTTACATGAAACTGCATGCATTTTGTTTGATGTGTTGTTGCAGTGGTTTAGTTTTGGCATATAACTTCAGTCTTATTTCTAGTTATTTAATATTGACAACTATTAAAATTGACTAATTCTGTGATTATTTATAGATGAATGTGTAAATAATAATGAATACCTCCCACATACTTTTGAAAATTAAGGCCTATCATAACATAAAAAAAAAACCCACTGCAAGTGAACTTGAAATACTGCTAAGTTTTGAGCCAAGACAAAGAAAAACTTAATAATGTTGTTCTTTATGGTCTTAAAGTGCATAATGCACTATATAAATTATCTGTTCCTATTTGATATTTCTGGAAGAACATGCAATTTTTATATGAATGAACAGCAAAACCAAAAAAAAAGCTAAAGTACAAGACAGATAGATATATATACACACATATATATGTGTTTCAGTATTATTACAAAATTATTTAAATTTTTTATTTTTATATTACTTTCAAACATAGATATAAGTCATTCTTACAAGAACTTTATTAATTGCATGGTTTCTGTCTAGCACCAAAACCAGTTAATATGCACCAGAAAATGAGAGAGGAGAGGCAAAAGTTAAACCAGTGATTATGTGTAGTAGAAATGGAGCTGATAGTGCTGAGAATCGGCAGATGGAGTGAATGAGCATAATTGCAAATAAACCCTCACAATGTGACTTGATGAGTTTTTTTCTGTCCATAACTTTCCTGTAGTATAAAATAAAGCTCCATAGTGGTTTGGTGCAAGTGCACTTGTGCTCTCTTGATATTCAAATCTAGTGGACTAAGATAGGAAGATCTTAGTACTTTGCTGCATGGTAATCATTAAGACCTAGGATTTCCACATTTGGGCTGTTGAAAGGTGCATGATGATGATTAGTATGAACAAGTTTAATATTTTGCTAATACAACAGAACTAGAACCATATTTGAGTGGAAATGGATGAGTTTTAGATCTAAACTCTAACTTCCAGAGCTCAAGTTGTCAATTCTTTTATTTACATGATTCTTTCCTGATAAAATTAATTTTATTTTCAACAGTTTTAGTTTGCAGAAGGCAGAGGATTATTGTCTGTTCTTATACGCTGTGTCTTCTTTTATTCATGAGTTATATTCATTCTTAGAAGCTATAGTTCTACAAGAATAAAATTAATTGAATATGAATAGGTAGAAGGGTACAAAGGGTGAATATCCACAACAGCAGCTCCATATAATCAGCTTTATGATTTTATGCCTAGATATTGTACCTATTTCTCTCTTGCCCTACAAGAGAGTTAGTTCACTAAATAGCACTTGAATGCAGCAAGCACTCAATGGATAGGTGTTCTGTGGTGGTGGTGGTGGTTCTGAGGGGGGGATTGCCTTTATTTTCTCCTTTAGTTTTGGTTTGGGTTTATTTTGTAGGATTCTGCACCACCACCTCACTGCCAATCCAGAGTATGGGATAATTTTTTAATCTAAGTTGCCTTCACTTTGATCCCTGAGAGGATGTGTTCATTAGGCATATCAGAAATCAGGCAATGGTCAAAAAATAAAATGGAAAGGGTATCAAGGGCAAGTCAGGTTTTAAGGGGTTGCTATTTCTGTTGTTTTTAAAACTGTGTTAAGTCCTTTGTAGTAATGATGGTAGGCAATGGAAACAGATGTATAAATGGGTAATATTTTGGATTAGGAGCTGTTCTGCAATTTTAGCTTTGAGATTTATGAATTAGAAGTTGAGAGAAAGTCCAATGAGGTAAACTGAGTATTTGCATTAGAACAGTGCATTCAGGGCTGTGACATAACACTGAATTATTTACTGGAATCAAAACTTTGCAAAGAATTTTCCCTTTTCAGAGAATTTTTAGAAATGATTAAGAGAATGATTTCTAGAAGTCAGGGTCAAATGAAATTTCAGTTTAAATTGTTTCCTTAATTCTTTAGAATGTATACCTAACTTGGTTGTTCATCTCTTGGCTAGATCAAATATATTACTGTTACTTGACCTCTTCCACCTCACAAACAGCACTATCTACTATCAACAACTCAGACACCTAGCTAAGGCTTATACTGTATTTATTTATGCATGTATTTATTACGTGTTTAAGTCTTGTAAATTTATGCTTACATGAAAGGTACAATTACATTTACATTTTACATTAGATCCAGCAGTGTGATTTTTGAACTGAATCTTCTTCTGATCATTCCCACTGCCCTTGTTTTAGTTTTCATCATGGAGCAATCTTGAAAGGCACAAATTACACCCATTTGAGGTAATTCATAAGATGCAATTGAATAGCATCAGGAATAGCATTCTTTTGGTGCTCCAGCTTCTAATGGGCATTTCTCAGGAACTTGTTATCTTTTTTCAAAGTAAAACCATTAAAATGCAATCAAATGCTTACAGATAATATGGGTACTATATATTTAATTGTTTCACAATCAGATCTGCTTATTTTGGATTTAATTACTTGATAATTTACTTGATAACAGGACTTACACTAAAGTAATTTACTACTAAAAAGTTTTGATGCCTAAATATCTGCTTCTGTGATTCTCATTCAACTAACTGGAGGTACTGGAGACATCCATGCCTCATCCCATCAAAATTCATAAAGACATTCTTAAATCTAAATGACATTTGGGTCTGATTCTGGCAGGTGTTTTTAAGATTTTTCTAATTCCTACATAGACTATGAGAAACAAAATATTATGGAATGCCATCACCTAGTGCCCTTTCCCCATTGTCCCCCAAAATGGTATAATTGCTTACAGTGCAAGATAAAAGGGCACCTCCTTTCTGACTGGAATAGAACTGAATATGCCACATCACTGTTAGTGATAGAAACAGACAAATTACTTTTTAAATACATCTGTATATATCAGTTTTTAGCTGACTCATTCTTTTAAACTTATGTTATTACAGGAACTAGCAGTTAATCCTCTTTTATGTATCTGCCATTTGAGAGAATCTAGGAGGTTTTTGTGAAATAATAAAAAATCTTTATCTACTTCTACATTAAGGTGTTGCATATGGAGTTACTTTATGGTTTTAATAGCTGGATAACACTATAAATATGTAAGTATTAAAAATAGATGTAAATATTTCTGAGACTATTTTAAAGTAAAGAAATTTGCACTGTTATTTTGAAATCCCTTTTCCAGTATCCCATTAAATAACACTACTTTAAAAGGTAGAATAATTAATATTGGGATTAGGCAGGACAGAAATACAAGCACTGCCTCACTATAGATAATATTTTATCTGTTATCAATGTAGTATAAACTGGTTTGGGTCTTTTTCATGCTTCAAATATATGTGTAGCATTATTAAGTAAAGACGTGGAATATTTAGAAATTGCAAGTGAAGTATTTGGGATATTATTTAGGGATTATTTGAAAACCATAATCCTTTCTTTAGATATGAGATCAGACTTTGGTGTTTGTGTAATTACCAAGTAAAACAAATAAATAATGGATTATTATCAGACTTTCTATATCAGTAGTATGAGAAGAAACCACAAATTAATAGTTTTAACCGTTGGCGTGTTGCATGAATACTTTGGATCATTCAATATTTCAGGATATGGTGCCATATTGTCAGAGTAGCACTTCTATTCTCAAAGCCATGGTGAAGAGGAAAGAATTTAGCTAAATAGTAGTGGAGAAGCAATCTCCAACATAGTCAAACACTGGAACTGAATGGTCTTAATCTATAATTAGGTAAAAAACAGCTGCACAAAATATGAGACAAACTTATGGCAGAGCCTTCGAAGAAACTTATCTAGCAATAGAATATTAAAGTTCCTGAAAATTTTTATAAAAGAATTAAGTGTAATAGATTTCATATAAACTTGTCTCCTTTTGTAACTTTGGATGTGTATGAAAGATTAAATATAAGATATTCTTTATACATTCTTTCAACAGAAACTGTAAAAAAAATTTGTGGGATTCAAAAATAATGTAAATAGTTGGTGTAAAGTAATAGAAAAAATGCTGTATGGAATAAAATCAGTAATGTAAACATAGTACAAAACAATCCTCTATCAGCATCATGTGGGAAAGTGGAACTTCCGTTTAGGTCAGATTTAAGTCTTCTGAAACAGACCAAACTAACCTCAGGGCTGTCTTGTTCTGTTAGGTCCTGATATCCTACCCTCAGTTTCTGTGCTGTGGCCAAATCTGAGGGAAATCTTTCTCTTTTGGTGTATGTTTCATTTTTCTCTATTCTTTGAAGCCTCTTAAATCAATAGGTTTTACTGATAGTTCTGCCTCCTATTAGGACAAAATATATTTATTAATACATCAGATATACCCTAATCTAATTGCAAAAGAAAATAAAGTTGAAGAAGGTTACATTGACTGAAGTACAATGATAGGTTTTAGTAGAGAATTATTTAAGATACCAAGCTAGATAGTAGTGTAGGTAAAAAGTGAATTTGAAGCAAAGTGGACTTGCTTGTTCAATTATCAACATTGATGATCTTATTTTAGGATATGGGATTTCTTTGGGATACTGGTACCCAGTATTTCAGAAGATTTCATTTTGCTTAAAACATGACTTTCATCTTGCTTCAAGCACTATGGCTCGAGTTCCTTAGTGCTTGGGCTACTAGTGCAGCCCGGGGTAGCTGTCCTGAGTTTGTGATCCACATTTCATCCTGTTTTCCTAGAAGTAAGCACTGAGTTTCAGACACATCTGAGGTTTTTTGCCACAAATGTTACGGAGATATTTTTCCATGATGAACAACAATTGCTTTTCTGTTGGTGACAAAGTACAATGAATTATTTGAATCCATTGTTAGTCCCCTAACTATGTC